GTTCTGAGCTAAAAATCAGATTTATTGCAACTAATTAATGTACATAAATACATTGTGGAGGGACTGCTGAGCTTGGGGAAGTACACGATTTAAGCTTCTGGGTGGGGGGAGAAATACCCTGGGCCCTGGAAAAGAGTTTGTCGGCATCTGAGGGAACAAAACAATGAAAATAGCTCTGGATCCTGCTGTTAGAAACCTTTACAATAAGCATCAGCCAGTTTTTGAAAGATAACACCAAGAGATTCCATTTAATAATTAAAAAAAGACAATACAAAATGCAAACATTTCTTTTTACAAAGTTCAGATACATTTCTTTTAATCAAGTGCAAATAACTTCATGAACTACATCTTGCTCGTCACTTTAATCGTTTCTGCTGGAGTTGGTGAGTCCTGGCCCACTGCAAAAGGCAGATACAAATACTCCAACATGAGAAAAACCAACAACTCTCATTTCTGTGTAAGTTAATCCCCAAGGTGGCTGATGTGGGTTTCAGCCTTTCCAACCCTTTCTGAGGCAGAAGTGGGTGAGGAGCAGGGCTGAGCCGCTCTGGGGTGGCTCTGGGGGCCCTGTGGGCTTTTTGGGGCTTTTTGAGCTATTTGGTGAAAAGGAGGAGGAGACATGACCAGGTGTCTTTGCCCATTGCTGGAGGATGTGCTGTCACCTCGTCCTTTCAGAACTGCTTTAGGGGTTCGAGGTGGTTGGTGTGCCAACCAGGATGCTCCGAGGCCCCAGTGCCCCAGAGGGTCAGCAGGACAGTGACCCGACGTTAGATCACACAGAGGTAATGAACTCCCTGGCAGGCACGAGGGGCTGTGGCACACCATGGCACCACAGTGAAGTTGTCATTCCCAGGCTGGTTTTACTTTTGCTGCTTTTTTGTTCTAAATATGAAGATCCCTTTGGAGGGTCACTGCCCTGCATGACAAACCCCCTCCAGATCCCTACAGCAGCTTTTGTGCATCAGACCAGCTGTTTTCAGACAGCGACCAAGTGACAAACAGCTCAGCCCACAGATGTGGAGCTTCCAAACCGAGTGGGAGCCAGCGACAGGAGGGGAAAATCCACAGCTGGGATGAATCAGGACAGACTTTTTCAACTGATGCATCTTGGGGACAAACCTCAGCCCATGTGTCAGTGCTCACTCGCCCGCAGCCCCTCAGAGCCCTGGAGAACCTCGCAGGGTGCTGGAGCAGCATGGACCGAGGAGGGAGAACAGGGGCAAGCAGCTGCCTCCAGGATTTGGGAAAGACACCCAGTGGGACGTGCGGAGCAATAAATAATTGGTTTGCTAAGAGCAGGGCTGGGCCCACGTGTGGGCAGAGGAACAGCGAGGGACAAGTGGGGCCAGGAATGGGAGGGGACCTGCCACCGGCAGAGCTACAGGCAAGTCGACCACATTTAGTCCTGGCAGCTCCAGGTCTTTGAGAGGATGAAGATGGGGATGAAGGCAAGGGGAGGTGACAGCTGAGAGCCAGTGGCAGGGCTGGAAAGGGAACAAGACTCAGGGAGGAGGGATGGCTGGTGGCAGTGGTCACCTGTCCCTGGGGGTCTTGCCTGTCCGCGTGAAGATGCCAGGGGGACAAACCCACCAGTGGCATCCACTCAGCCACCGACCCTAGCTGCGCCTCTCTGCAAAGCCGCGGGGAGGCAGGTGGCAGTGAAATGGGGTGGCAGGATGGGTGTCCCCTGGGATCTGCACCCCACTCCCTAGGGAGGGGCTCCAACAGAATCCCTGTGGGATGAGCACATGCGGATGGGACTCAGAGGCACAAAGCCTCCTCAGGGGTGTGTGTGGCTCTGCCTTCAGGGATCGCCGTACCTGGGGAAGAGATTTTTGGGGCTGAGTGGAGGTGCAACTCACCCTCTCCTCCCACTGTGCCCCCTCCCTGACCGAGCCTCAGGAGCTGTCCCCAGTCTTCCTGGGGTCTTGGCTGGTCCCTGAGTCCTTGCAGGGAAGCAAATCGGTTTGCAACGAGCAGCTGCCGGGTCTGAGTTCTGATCCCCCTCGCAATGGGGCTGTATCGACGCCCAAACCACAGCGGATGAGCCCGAAGGACACGGCCAGCCCAGCCACTCCATCCCCTGCAGACAGACCACGACGCCTCAAGCTCCCTGCAAAAACTCACCCCATCGCGCCGAGCAGGAGGCACCATCTCCCCCACGCTGGGGCTTTATCAGGGACAAACGCGGCAGAAAAGGCCTGAAGACGCCACCGCGCCGGTCAGCGTGGCTCAGGGCTGGGCTTGCTCTGCGTGGGTGGTTTGGTTTTGTTGCAAACACACATTCTCGTTTTTCAGGCAGGTATAAATATTGTCATTTCTAGTAAAAAAAAACAAATTCCCTCTAAATAATATAAAGAAGACTCAAATGATTGCACTTAATACATATGAAAAAGGTAGAAAGGAGAATATCCTAGTGCACAACATTGACTCCTGCTCTTCTCAAAGCTTGCTTTTCTGAGTTACTCTTTGGCAGAGCTTGTAACAAAGTCTGGTTTCTTGGCACAAGTGTCTGGGATGTGGGGAAAAAATTGAACCCGGCTGAAAGTCCTTCTCCTTTGCTCCCTGTTTTCTCCCGTGCAGCCAGACATTGTTCTCCGGGAACGTGGCTTGGCCGCGCTTCCCTGCCAGCGCCAGCACGGCTCTCCGGCGGGGACACGGTGCTGCGCTGGTGGGCTTCGCCTCCTCTCCTTTACACCTCCGTGTTAATCGTCAGCTCTGCCAGTCCTCTTCCCCCGACCTCGCAAAGCGGTGCCCACGGCCCAGCGCCCGCTGAACAGGGTGTTACCTCCTGCACTCCTCTGCGAAGGGCCCCGTGGGGCTGCAGCCAGCGCCAGCCCCGGGGCTGGGGGGACGGGGACCCCTGCAGTGTCCTGGGCTGCCGGTGGCACCAGGGAACGGGGACAGACCTGGCGTAAAGGAAACCAAAGGGAGGACAGGGGACAGTGAAAGGACCAGCACTTCAGTTTCCTAAAACGGAGAAGCTGTTTCAGAAGAGGGGAGCGGCTTCGCTGGCAGCTGGATGAGACCGGAGCATCCCCCCAGCTGGGAGCACAGCTCTGCAGGCAGTGGCGGGGAAATCGTGGGGGATGTCTGCGAGGCAAGCAGTGGTGGTCCTGCTGGAGCCGGGTGGAGGAAGGAAAAGTTGGAAGGAGAAGGAGGGGAGAAGAGGGTTTCCTTGGCTGTGGGGTGGCCTGGGGCGGCAGGGATGCGGGGGGCTATTTGTAAGGCCGGAGGAAGCTGGAGACTTTGGAGCGGAGGAGCTTGATGAAGGAGCGGGGCAGCATCTCCTTGTGTTTCTCCGTGTACTTGAAGTAGTTCTGGGGGTGTGCCAGCACGTCAAAGAAAGCTTTGATGAGCTTCTTGTCCTGCAGGGAAGCCAAGCCAGAGGAACATTCGCCATCCTCCCTGTGCTCTCCTGAAGCTGCTCTGGACCGAAGCCCTGAGAGCATGGAGCACCCCCAAAGGGAAGGATGCTCCTGCAACCCCCAGAACCCTGGGTAGCATTGGCCTGGGGCACATGCTCACCTTGAGGATCTCCTGGTGATTTTCGGAGGCGTAGAGCCTGCCATCCCGCACGATGTCCTCCACCAGCTGCTCATAGTCCTCTGCAATGCCCAGCCGAAGAACACAGGGCATGAGCTGCCACTTCTCCCCAAACCTCTGGTCCCCATCCCGAGTCCACTCCCCCCAGACACACAGGGGGTGTGTACTGGGGATGACTCAAGTCCCAGACCAGGGCAGGGGGGCATCAGCATGCCAGGATGGGGTCTCCCTGTGCTCACCGTCGTAGGTGACGTAGGGGATCTGGAAGCCACGGGCGCTGTTGGCTTCACTGGTTTTGAAGTTGATCCAGAGTTTGCGGGAGCGGGCGGTGAAGGCGATGGGCCTCTCGTAGGTCTGGCATGTCTCGTAGGTGGTAATGGAGGACGGGGAGGCTGTGGGATCAGTGAGGGGACATGTGCTGCTGGTTGCCCATCAGCGAAGCTACCCTTGGCCTTACTAGGCTTAAATGCTCAGGGTGAAGGGTGGCACCAGGGATGGGGCCTGTCCGTGTTGGGCACGAGTCCCCCCAACCCTCATGTTAATTGCAAGGGATGCTGTTATTCCTTCCTTGCTCTGGAAAGCTCGAAGTGCGGCTTTTCATCCATAAAAGGCAATGCTGACAGCCAGGTGTGCAGCCCAGCCCACACACAGCCCCGATACAGCCAGACACTGGGGTGGCAGGGCAATACTGATCTCCCCCACTCATCCAATTCCCAAAATTCCCCTCCTGCTGCCCAGGGACGTGGCTTTGTCCCTTTGCACAAGGCAGCTGTACCAAACCCCAACCTTCTCCTCCCCAGGCTCCTCTTGTGAGCACCGCGGCCCACTCGGTTACCTACAGTTTTTCCGCATGACCAAGACGTCGCCGCACTCGTCCTCAGAGGGGAGGAAGATCTCCGGCACCACGATGAGGATCTTGCGCTTGGGCGGTGGGTTGATGTTCCAGGTGCACTCG